TTTTTTTTTTTTTTTTTTTTTACTTTTTTTTTTTTTTTTTTTTAAGGAGGTGACTTTTGAAAAGGCATTGAGACAGGGCATTCAGGGGGTGTATATGCGGGTATAAAGGTTCTGATCTGGGTAACAGGAATCTGAGGGGGAATGATGAAAGAGTATGTGAGGTGTGGCTAAGGAGAGTAGTGTGGGGTGGAGCAGGACAGACAGGGCAGAGAGAACCCATGACAGTCATGGCGGCTATGTGCCAGCAGTAAGGAGGGAGGAGAGGGAGGGAGATGGTGAGGATTACTGGCTCAGAATGTGGCCTTGGGGAAACTCAGAGCAGGGTAAGTGTTTTAGGAAGTTTTTAGGGTTGTGATGTTAGAGGATGTTAGAGGAGGTTAAGAAAGGTCAGACCAGTGAGTGTACAAGTGACAGAGCTCATGCTTTCCCCATGGTCTAAGAAGAGGAGAGTCATCCGGGGAAAAGTAGTCATTGGCCCTGGGTTTTAAGTAGTGAAGAGGGTTGTGGTAGAGGTACTAGAAATGACTTACTGGAAAAGGTCTAGGTGATGTAAAAGCCAGCACTAATAATTTGGTTGAGAAATAATCTAATAGGAAAAAATACTGGCCAAGGGTTCAGCAAGGCAAAGGTGACTATTTCTGGTGTCAGAGTGGATGTTATGCTTGGTGCTGTTCTCCCTGTACCTGACATAGTAAGCACTTAGTATTTGTTGGATGGCTTGCTTTAATACAAGTTGTTAACTTCTTATAAAGATTTTCAGTCATCACATTTGAATAGTATAAAGAATTCCCTTGAAGGGTAAGATCTGTTGATCCAGTGAGAAATCATGTTCTTTGTAATTGTTAATACATTTCTCCCTGGAGAGCACTGGGGTCAGTAGAGGTTCCCTGAATGTCCTGTCAGCTCTGAGGCAGAGAAGTTATGATGCTGGCTCTATAGATAAGCAGCACAAAGACTAAAAATTCACTGTGCTCCGGTATGGCTCTAGGCTAACGTGTTAGCCCATTAAATCCTAATAATACCCAAATGAGATACAAGTGAGTATTATCCCCCTTTGACAGAGAAGAAAAGTGGCTCTCAGTAGAGAGATGAGATGGCTTGGCCAGGCTCACAGTTTGAACCTATGAATCTAACTCAAGGATCAAGGCATCTATCTGCCTTGCTCCTCTATATTTACTATTTCTTACACTCTCTGATTTTAGAGCTGTCATTGCTCTGATGAGTTATGCCAAAGTCATGCTAAGGAGATGAAAATACTAAATCTTAACTTGTTACAGCTACAAAAATTGTCACACCCACAGAGGTTGTATGGTTACTTATAGCCCTGGCCCTTACTTCCTGCTTCTGGCTTGGTGTTTGCCAGCTGCCTCACGGTGGGGAAAAGGTTGTAGCTGTCAAGAGACAGACAGGCCTTGCGTCTCAAGCCATGTCACCTCTCTTTTTCTTAAAAACTTGAAGCAAAATCCGATATAAAAGCACACAGGTGCCTTTTCTCTTTTTCCCTTTTCAAATTGTTGTGTGCTCTCCAAGGTCGGAGTCTAGAAATCTTAGATGTCTTGTGTCTGAGTGCTGGGTGCTGATGTACACATTGGGGGAACAAGTTGAGTAACTGAAAATTTCCCTTCAGACTCTGGTTTAGTGGACACCACTAAGGATGGAAGCTTCTGTCCCCGCTCCTTTTTGTCCCTGCTTAGCTTTCTGTTGACGTCATCTTCCTTAGGGCCCATCAATTTGTCTAGTCGGGAATGTCATGGATGACTTCTTTGTACCCGGTACTTATTATTGGATGGCCCAGAGTTCATTTTGATTACATAATGCTAGCATCATGATCATATCTACTTGTAAAACATAGCCTCAATTTATATAGCTAGTTTTTGGATTGCTCTCGGAGGGCAGATAACATGAGGGAAGTGCTTCATTATCTTGTTTCCCTGTACTCTTCATGGAAGACGGAACCCAGAGTCTAAGGAGGTGAAAGCTGGATCCTTTCATATGTATTTAGTACTAAAGTAAGTGGCTGCTTGCAGCATTCTGAAAACAGTGAGTAGATCCTAAACCTTTAGGCAGAGTGCCACCATCTTACTTTATTTGTGTGACACATGGCATAGGGCCCCTATCAAGCTTGGCAGAGAGGACGGGATATTAAGGCACTAGACTAGAGCTGGTAGGCTTACGACATGTGCTCTGCTTTATCTCCTGAGGTGGCTTTAAGGAGAGTTGGAGGACACTGACAGTTTTCTTTTGCAGTTGCAGCTGTGATCCTCGGCTGTCTGCTGGTATTGAGGAGACCTGATGTTTTACGTTATTGGTATGTGATCAAATGTTTATTTTCTTGTCTTTTGGTTAATGTCGTCTAGTTCCCATTTGCCTCCTTATCTCACCTTCTCCTTGAAAATGGAGCTAGAAACACCTTCACTTGTGCCAGAACATACCTTCACACAGCTGGCAGAGTTCATTCATTTGGGAAATATTTATTGAGTAATTATAGTCTGTGCCAGACACTGCTAACTGTAAAGTCCAAGTCAAAAATCTGCCTGTAAGGAGTTTATAACATGAAGGGGGGAAGCAGGAAGAAGTTGGTAGATACAGAAGTTTGAGGGGGCCTAAGAGAAGGAACACCTAACTGATGGGGCTTGAGGAAGGCTTTTGCCAAGTGGATGAGAAGACAAAAGGCTTCCAAGTGGAGGGAAGCAAGAGCACACTGTGCTGAGGGCACACTGTGCTGAGGGCACACTGTGCTGAGGGCACACTGTGCTGAGGGCACACTGCTGAGCACCTCTGTGAGGGGAGCACGGCAGGAAGGGGTAAGGGGCTGTGCCTGGGCTTCGTGATACAGAACAGGGTCAGCAGACTGTTTTGTAAAAGGCAAGAGAGCAAATAACATTTTGGTTTTGGCAAACATACGGTCTCCTTCCACACACTCCACTCTGCCTGGGTGGTGCACAAGCAGTCATAGACAGTTTAGGACTGGCGAGGCGACATTCCAGCATAACTTCATTGACAGAAAACAGTGGTGTGGGGTTTGCCCTGAGATCATAGTCACCTACTCGTGCTCTAGAAGTTTCTCTTTACCTGTTACAATGTTTCCTCCCTCCCTCCCTCCCTCCCTCCCTCCCTCCTTCCCTCCCTTCCTCTCTCCTTCTTACAATCTCACAGACACTTTGACCTCCTTTAAGCTTTGTGGGCTGGCCAGTCTGTTCTGTAGCCGCTGTAATGTGTAACTGGCAGGTGGTTTGTGTTTCTCTTTCATGTAGGTGGAATCATAGTGTCTGTGGTTGCATTCTTCTTCACAATTAAGTTCCTCTTTGAGCTTGCCGCACGTGTAGTCAGCTTTCTTCAGAATGAAGACCGTGAGCGCCGAGGGGACCGGACTATTTATGACTACGTGCGGGGAAATTACCTGGATCCCCGGTCCTGCAAAGTGTCCTGGGATTGGAAGGACCCCTATGAGGTGGGCCACAGCATGGCCTTCCGAGTGCATGTAAGGGAATGTTTTTGTCTCCATATTCATCATGGTTTCTGAGTCATTTGCTTTCCAGAGCCCAGTGGTGTCTTGGTGGTGCAGGCAGGAATGTTAACATTTTCCCCTGTTTTCAGTCCCTCCCAGGCACTTGAGAATTGTTACTATCTGGAGAGCGTGAATTTTCCTATCCTGTGGTTTACTGGGTACATAGCTTTGAGGAAGTGTAAAGCCTAATGGTTTGTTTTTTTTGTTTTTGTTTTTTTTTTTTCAAATTAGAACAAAGTAGTGAGGCTGGTTGGATGCACAGTTCTGATGCCAGCACATGGGACATAAGCTCTCTCTGATCAGGACTTCAAGGTCACCCTGTGTACATAAGGGTCTCAAAGCCCATTCTAAGCTATATGGGATTCTGGCTCAAAACAAAGCAAAACAAAAAAAAAACAAATCTTTAATTCCAACACTCAGGAAGCAGAAACAGGCAGATCTCTGTTAGTTCTGGACCAGCCTAGTCTACATAATGAGTTCCAGGGCCAGGGCTATATTGTGTGACCTTATCTAAAAAAGGGAGCGAGGTGAGAAAGAAAGGGTTAGAAGGAAAGGTGGGAGGAGGTATCATAGATCAGGGTAGTAAATGTAGCTGGGAAAGCCCAAGCTAGCCCACTTTCTGTTTGTGTAAATGCCACCCCTCCTTTTCCATTGTTGTTGTTTCTGAAACAGGATTTCTCTTTGTAGCTCTGGCTGTCCCATAATTCACTGTATAGATCAGGCTAGCCTTACCCATAGAGATCCACCTGCCTCCATCTCCCAAATTCTGGGATTAAAGGTGAGGGCCACAATGACTGCCTGGCATTGTAGCTGCCTTTCAGTTGGAACACACCCACACTCGTCTTCTTTCGGCTACTTTCTCATTTGCATAGTTAGAATAGTTGTGTGTGGTCCACAAAGCCATAACTACTTACTCTCTGTCATTTTATGAAGGAACTTTACTACCCATGCAGTGACTCTCCACTAGAGAGAGGTAGCATTAAGTTTGGTGTGTGAGCCTGAATCCCTCAACCCTGGCCTGGTACCTCCCTTCCCCTCAGTGCCAATGCTAGATACCGTGCTGCTGGTCAGCTGCCTTTACGTTTGGGTTAGCATTGGTACTCAATAGAGCTGGGACACTGATGAGGTGGCATTTGCCATTCAGAAACCTCAAGTATTCTCCGTGTCTTCTTGACTTTGTAGTGTATGCTGCCATGTCCTCTGCACAGGCAAAGAACTTGTCCATGATTTATTGATTGTTGTGTGTATAAACTTGCCTCTCATTCCTAAGACCAGAACTAGAAGGAGCCAGTGGGCACAGCAGTTTACCGTTGAGACCTTGGGCGGCTGCTTCCTCTGCCCCACACTCTGGTCACGTGAGAAGTGGTCCGCTGCCTCTTCTGTACTAATGGGTGCCTACCCCTCTCCTCCACTGCAGTTGTTCTATAAGAATGGACAGCCTTTCCCTGCACATCGGCCCGTGGGACTGCGAGTTCACATCGCTCACGTTGAACTAGCAGTAGAAATTCCAGTGACCCAGGAAGTCCTCCAGGAGCCAAATTCTAACGTGGTAAAGGTGGCCTTCACTGTGCGCAAGGCTGGGCGCTATGAGATCTCTGTGAAGCTTGGTGGATTAAATGTGGCCTATAGTCCCTACTACAAAATTTTTCAGCCTGGTAGGTTCTTGGTTCATTCCTTGGTTCTCCCTGTACCCCAACATTCCTTATTTCTGCTTCCTCTTCCTTTTCCTTTCCTTTTCCTTCCCTTTTCCTTTTCCTTTCCTTTTTCCTTCCCTTTTCCCTCTCTTCCCTCCCTTCCCCCCTCCCCTCCCTTCCCTTTCCTTTTCTTTCCTTTTTCCTCCCCTCCCCTCCCTTTCCTTTCCTTGTAGGGTGTGGTGGGATGCAGGGCCTCATGCTAAGTATGGGCTTTGCCTCTGAACGGGACTGGTAAAAAACAACACTTAGATTGAGATTTTGCTCGCCTGCCACAGATTTCATCGATTTAAATATAATGGTTGTAAAACTCATAGCTCGGCAGTCCGTTTTAGAGGATTTTCATTATGGTACGGAGAAACCACAGACCCATTAGCAACTTTGTGGCCAACCCCCCAACTACAAAAGCTGTGAAGTTGCCTTCTTTGGACAGTTCTATCAGTGTAATCATAAACTATGAGGCCTTTCTGACTGTCGTTTGACTTAAGGAGGTGCTTTTCAGGTCCATTGTTCTGTGTCATGTGTAGTTCTTCATTCCTTTTACTGCCAAGGAACATGCCATGTACTGTTTGTCATCTCTTTGTAAGCTGTGGACATCTAGGTTGTTTCTTCCCATGGGACTTCTTGACTACTGTAAACATTTGTGTACAGGTTCTCTGTCTCCCCACCCAGGATTCATTTGTTTACTTATTTATTGAGAGAGGGGCATATCTGGGCCCCGGTGTGCCCGTGGAGGTCAGAGGACGACGTGTGAAGTCAGCTCTCTCCTTCATCGTGTGGGTTCTGGGGTCACACTCAGGTCAGCAGGCTTGGAGGCAATGTTTTCTTCCCAAATAAGAGAAGTAGTATTACTTTTGTGGTTTTTCCAGCATCTGTGTGTGAGTTTCTTGTGTGGGCATTGTGTTTGGATTTCTCCAGGAATAGAATTGCTGAGTAGTCAGTCTGATGGGCTCTGAAGGGCCTAGGATACTAGAATAGAAAGGAGATACATTTTTCTGATTTTTTTTTTTAGACCTTTTTAAGTAAAAGCACCAAATCTACTAGTACTGTCAATCTGTATTTTACTTCATACTGAAGTGCGTCCTCTGTCTGTGACTCCTGCCTCTATGTCAGGTGACAGGTACTGACTGACACTGAGGTCTAAGCTGTAATTTCGACTCTCGACTCTTGCTTCTGCAGTATAAGTGTTTAGTGTTTGGGAGTCCTATCTGCTTGTACCTTTCTGGCATTTTTTGAATATGCCATTAGATACTGGCTAGTTTGGTATCACACGGAAATAATAGGACATTGGCTAACTTTGAGAGTTAAATCCTAATGGTTGGAGTCTCTCTGTTTGCCTGGTGTCCAGTTCTTTTTCTCTAGAGCAAAGGAAACTGAAGACCACATTGACTCTGACTGAACCGCATTGTGGCTCTCCTTTGCCTGAATGCCGCATTCAGAGACTGTCCCCCTGATTTGCCGCATCCTTCTTGCCACCAACGGAGAACAATCTGTATTGTTATGTAACATCTCTGTCTAAATTAAGCTGCTTATGTTGAGAATTTTATTCTCATGCATGATAAATAAGAGGGGATACTCTTAGTAGTTTTCCAGTGGTCGCATCTTTCAGACTGTTGCATAGTACAGCATCACAGCCACGCTTCTGACATTACTACAGTTAAGGTCCATGGGGCTGGAGAAAGGACTCAGCAGTTTAGAGCACTGGCTGAGGACCCAGGTTCAATTCCTGTCACCCAGATTGTGGCTCACAACCATCTTGTAACTCCAGTTCCAGGGGATCCAACAACCTCTACTAAGCCTCCATGAGCACCAGGCCTGTATATAGTGCATACACATACATGCAGGCATAGCACATACACAGATAAAAGTAAGCTTTAAAGCGTTATTTTAAAAGGACACAGATCTTCTCTGACGTTGTACAGCTCCCTCCCGTGCTGCCCTTGTGTAGCTGTGTTCATTTTTGTTCCCCACAGGCTCATTTCTGATGTCCTGAGAACTCAGGAATCTATTTTCCATTTCTTTACTTTTACAAAAACCAGTTACAGTGACCCATGTCTGCAGTGATCTGTTATTCTAGCACTCAGGAGATAGAGGCAGGGAGTTCAGGAGTTCAAGATCTTCCTTGGCCAACCGGCGATACACAGCCTCTGTCTAAAACCAAAGCCCCAAACCACAGGTCAGCATTAAGTCCTTTGAAGAGTGTTTGAAGTAACCTCTCAAAACTGGCTGAATTCTTGGGCGATCTATCTGTGTTGTCACGTGTATGAGCACTTGGTTCTGTTTTGTGGCACCGTTCAGTGGAATGAATATTTGCTTAGCGAGTCACCCATTGAAGGACACCCTGATTGTTTCCTGTTCCTAGCTATTCTCACCAATGCTTCTGTTAACATTCACGTACAGATTTATTTATTATTTATTTATTTATTTATTTATTTATGAGAGCATTTCTTAAAGTAAATGCTCTGGAAGATGTTTGTCAAGACATTTGATGATTGCATTTTTAGTTTTTTAAGAAAGAAATTGCTAAATTCTTTGCCAGAGTGGCTGTAGCATTTGGACTCCGTTTCCTCACATCCTTGCCACTGTGATATTGCCACTTTTTTATTTTGGACATTCTGATGAGTGCGGGTTTAACTTGCATTTCCCAAATGGTTAGGAATGCTAAACATCTTTCCATGTGCTTATTTGACAGCCGTCTTATCATCTTTGGTAAAAATATTTTTTCATGATGTTTTCATATTTTTTAATAGAAAATTTTGGGTTTCCACTCTTGTTTTGAGAGTTTCTTTATATAAATTCTATGCACTAGTCCCTTGTCCAACAGTTAAAATCAGCTTTTCTTTTAGTCCTTTTAGGATCTTCCATGTTGTAAAACCCCTTTTAATATTGACAAAGTACGCACACACACACACACACACACACACACATACACACATACACACACACATACACACACACACACACACACACATTTTTCTTTCATGATCATGCTTTTGATGTCAAAGTTCTCTGGATAATTCAGATCCTAAAGTTTTTTCTCCAATGGTTTTTCTAAAGTTTTATTGTTTCATATTTTATGTCAAAGCCATGTTTCATTTTTAGTTGATTTTTATATGTGACACTTGTGTCAAGGTTCTTTGATATATTTTTTTTTCCTCGAAGTTCTCTGGTTGCCCAAGGACCATGTGTTAAGAGAGTTGTCTTTCCTTCCTGGATAGACCTTTGCACCTTTGTCAAAAATCTGCTTGAGGTTCTTTCTGTATGATCATGTAGTTGATATGTCTGCCCTCTCCTAGTACCAGAGCCTTGCTTACTGTCTGTCAGATCACATGCACTGGCTCTACTCCACTTACTCTTCTTTTTCAAAATTGCTTTAGCTAATTCCAGTTCCTTTTTCTTTCTCTACAGATTTTGATATAATGTCTAATCGTATGAATAGTTTCCTAAGAGTTTAATAAAAATTGTGTTAAACCTGTGTTTCAACATGGGCAAGTTGACACATCCTCTCTGTTGAACCCTTTAATTCACAAGCATGGTATACTTTATTTATTTGGATGTCCCTTAACACCCGTGCACAGGGACAGCACTAATTGGACTCAGTGGGTTAAAAAGGAAGACACGGAGCTGGGAGGGGCATGTGGTGGTGATGGGCAGACATGGACGGGTGTGTGCGTGTGTGTGTGTGTGTGTGTGTGTGTGTGTGTGTGTGTGTGTGTAGGTATGATCAAAATATATCAAGGTTTCTCAGTGTAGCCCTGGCTGTCCTGGAACTCACTCTGTAGACCATGCTGGCCTTCTACTGCAAGATCCGTTCTGCCTCAAAAGTGCTAGGATTAAGGGCATGTGCCACCACTGCCCGGCCATGTAATTTTTTTTTAAAGATTTATTTATTTATTTTACTTATGAATACACTGAAGCTGTCTTCAGACACACCAGAAGAGAGCATCCAATCCCATTACGGATGGTTGTGAGCCACCACGTGGTTGCTGGGATTTGAACTCAGGACCTCTAGAAGAGCAGTCAGTGTGCTCTTAACCACTGAGCCATCTCTCCAGCCCCCCAGCCATGTAATTCTTAAGGAACAAATTCTGTATTTTTTAAATCAGTTTTCCTTGTGCACAGCATTAATGGCGTTCCATGTACAGTCTTATCCTTTGTTAGATTTGCATCTGCCTCACACCCTTTGATTTTGCTTTCTCCATTTTCAGTGTTTCATTTCTTATTTTATTTATTTTCTGTGTGTGTATGAGTGTGGGCATTTTCCATTGGCAGGTATGCACATAGAGATTAGAGGACAGCTTTGTAGAATGTTTTTCTCTCCTTCCACCTTGTCATGTGTTCTGGGAGTCAGATGTAGACCACCATGCCTGCACAGTGCCTCATTGTTAATCGATCTCACCAGTTTCTGGCACTTTTTTTGGCTTTTTTTTTTTTTTTTTTTTTTTTTTTTGAGATAGGGTCACCTATATAACACTGATTGTCCTGGAACTCACCATGCAGGCTGGCCTTGAACTCACAGAGATCCACCTGCCTCTGCCTCCCTGATGCTGGGGTTAAAGAGTGTGTCACCATGCATGGTTTAGCACTCACTGTAAAGGTGTGCCTCCAAGGTTCTCTGAGGGACTGCAGCACTGTATTTGTGCTTCTCAGTTCTTTCCTCATTTCCTTTGGTGCAGAAAGTGGTTAAAACTAACAAGGAAACAAAAACATTTCCCAAAGCAACAACAAAACCCAAGTTCTCACAGTTCATTTCTGTGAATCTGTTTTTTCTTGGTCTTCATTGTCTTGTTTCAGGAATGGTGGTTCCTTCCAAAACCAAAATTGTGTGCCATTTTTCTACTCTGGTGTTGACATGTGGACAGCCACACACTCTGCAGATAGTGCCCCGTGATGAATATGATAACCCAACCAACAATTCCATGTCCCTGAGAGATGAGCACAACTACAGCTTAGCCATCCATGAGGTGAGTGCCGCCTTCTCTCTTCCCTGTCCAGGACGGTCAGACTCTCCTGGTACCCTTCCCCCATCTCTTCTCCCTGACTTCTGAGCCTTCTTGGCTTTATCTGGCCGTGCCTGTCCCTTTAGGAAGTGTGAGACATAGATTTACGGAGCCACAGGGAAGCTCTTTGTGAAGCAGAAGTGATGCATGTGTCATCTCCCTTTGCCTCCTGTAGCTTGGTCCTCAAGAAGAAGAGAATAATGAAGTCTCGTTTGAGAAGTCAGTGACATCCAACAGGCAGACTTGCCAGGTGTTCTTGCGGCTCACCCTGCATTCCCGAGGTTGCTTCCATGCCTGCATTTCATATCAGAGCCAGCCCATCAACAATGGCGAATTTGACATTATTGTCCTTAGTGGTGAGTTGAAAGCTGTGACTTGGTCTTTTCTTAGCCATTTTCTCTTTGTATGTCTGTTCTCTGACTCACCCCACAGACATTTGAGAATTGAGCCATCTTTACCTAACCACCTTGTAGTGTGTGAAGTGACCATCAGGAGGTCAGTTTGCACTCCCCTGATTCCTATTTCAAAGCTTACTCCTTGCATTTCAGAGAATGAGAAGAATATTGTTGAACGCAATGTGTCCACTTCAGGAGTGAGCATTTACTTTGAAGCTTACCTCTACAATGCTAACAACTGTACCAGCACACCATGGCATCTTCCTCCCATGCACATGAGCTCTTCTCAACGCCGGCCCTCCACTGCTATTGAGGAGGACGATGAAGATTCACCCTCAGAGTGCCACACCCCTGAGAAAGTAAAGAAACCCAAGAAGGTGTACTGCTATGTGTCACCAAAGGTTGGAGCCTCTACTCTTGCTTTACCCCTCCACCCCCAACCTCCCAGTCTGTATGTGGCCAGCATATAGTAATAGAAACTCTAAAGTGACAGTCTGGGTATCAGTAGGGCAGGGTCATCTCTATGTAGTGTTTCTGTGACAGTAAGAGAGGCTTGCTAGCATGGACCAGGAGGTTCCCGTCTCTGCTGCTGCAGTGGTTTTTTTTTGTGTGTGTGTGTGTATAACAATCACTGTTGGCCCCTTATGCTGTATGGAATCAGTTTGATCTTTCGTTCTGTGAAAGCCCATTAAATGGTTGTCACTACCAGGCTTGAAGATTGTAATGAAGAAGTTTTGGCAGAGGCAGAGGAAGGTGAATTTCCCAAGCCCTGAACGTAAAGGTGCCTTCTTAGAGGCTTTCTTTTGACTGTTTGTGTTTATACAGTCCTCACAAAAATGAGACTATTGGAACATCCTTATTACATCTCTTAATTTCATAATCAAGACTGGCTTCAAATTCCTTCCTCCCTCTCGTCCCTTCCCCTCCCCTCCCCTCCTCCTCCTCTTCTTCCTCCTCCTCCTTCTCTTCTTCCTCTTCCTCCTCTTCCTCCTCTTCTTCCTCCTCCTCCTCCTCCTCCTCTTCTTCCTCTTTCTCTCTCTCTCTCCCTTCCTTCCTTCCTTCCTTCCTTCCTTCCTTCCTTCCTTCCTTCCTTTCTTTCTTTCTTTCTTTCTTTCTTTCTTTCTTTCAAGACAGGGTTTCTCTGTGTAGTCCTGGCTGTCCTGGAACTTGCTCTGTAGACCATGCTGGTCTTGAACTCAGAGACCCTTGTGCTTTCTAATGTAAATATTTATTTATAAATCTAGCCTTCGTGTGGAATAGAAGGGATGACAGTGAGGTAGTAAGTGGGGTGAAAAATTGCAGAGGAGCAGCATTGAATTAATTATTAAATTTGGCAAAGTGTTTTTAGCGTTGTTTGAAGTTTTCTTTAAAGAACATTGGTCTTTAAGTCATGGGGGAAATGGAGGGGTTGGAGATGTAGTTCAAGGTAGAACATGCCTATAGCATGTGAGGGGCAGTCCAAGCACTGAAAAAGGGAACAGTGTATGACAATATTCACATAACATTTTTGAAAACAGACAGATCTTACATTATATTCTCTTTTATAAATGGGAGGAGAAGAGCCTTCCTGGTCATGCTAGGTTATTGAGGTAACTTCTGTGTGAAGTCCGCTGTGCTTCTCTCCAGGCCTCTCTGCACATGTATATGTACCTTCTTCCTGTCCCATGTCTTAGTTAGGGTTCTACTGTTGTGAACAGACACCATGACCAAGGCAACTCTTGTAAGGACAACATTTAATTGGGGCTGGCTTACAGGTTCAGAGGTTCAGTCCATTATCATCAAGATAGGAACATGGCAGCATCCAGGCAGGAATGGTGCAGGCAGAGCTGAGAGTTCTACATCTTCATCTGAAGGCTGCTAGCAGAATACTGGCTTCCAGGCAGCTAGGAGTAGGGTCTTAAAGCCCATAAATACAGTGAAACACCTACTTCAACAAGGTCACACCTCCCAACAGTGCCACTCTCTAGGCCAAGCATATACAAACCACCACAGCCCCCATCCATGCCAAGTCCTTCGTACCATTCAGACAAGAAGAGAGAGCCAGGCCAGGTGGTGGTGGCGCACGCCTTTAATCCCAGCACTTGGGAGGCAGAGGCAGGCAGATTTCTGAGTTCAAGAGTTCGAGGCTAGCCAGGTCTACAGAGTGAGTTCCAGGACAGCCAGGGCTACACAGAGAAACCCTGTCTCGAAAAAGCCAAAAAAAAAAAAAAGAAGAAGAAGAAGAGAGAGCCAGGCATGGTGGTTCACACACCTATAATCTCAGCACTCAGGAAGCTGAAGCAAGGTCACTGTGACATCAAGGCCTAGTGAGTCCCAGTATAGCCTGGGCTACGGAATAAAACCCTGTCTCAAGCCACACCAGTGGCATCAACTAGATAGGGAGCAGTAGGGGTGGCTGTTGTTTGCTCCTGTGTGGGCGTGGGAGTCACTGAGCAGCAGCAGGCAGGGCAGGGTCCTGGCTGTTCTGAGGTGAAATGTTCTGTGCTGAGAAAGTGAAGACCTAATTGCAGACATTCTACAATGAGTGTCAGACTGGAGCATTAGCATGGCGTGCGCCTGGGAAATTATGGTGTCAGATAGGGGTTGAACTTTGCCTTCACAGACATACTTACTTTAGTACTGCCTAAATTATCCTCTTGCTGTTATGAAAACTATAGTCAAGGCTTTGGTGTTTGTATTGTAATACCCAGACTGGACACTCTTCTTCATCACTCACTTCCTTCTCTATGTCGGCCCCCAGCAATTCTCAGTCAAGGAATTCTATCTGAAAATCATCCCCTGGCGCCTCTACACCTTCCGAGTGTGCCCTGGAACCAAAGTAAGTCAGACCTCGTGCTGGGTAGACTCGGCTCTGGGATGCTCAGTCTTCTTTTTCCTTGAGGGCTTTCAGTATATAAAATTTCTTTCTCTATGTACAGATTTATTTCCAAACAAAGAAAAAGTTATCTCCTCATCAAAGGCCACAAACATATAACTCTTCACAAGAAGTGTGGTGACGAGACTTGGCACTTTGCCAGTATGTACCAGTAGCAAATCAGAATGCATTACCAGTGTTTTTGTCTTCAGCACCACTTTCAAAGGATGTCTGTGTCTGTGCCCACACATGGTTTCCTGTGTGCTAGAACTCATTCTATGAGAAGGAATGTTTTTATATGTTAAAGAATTTGTCTTTTTTTGGTTTTGTTGTTTTTAATTGCTCTGGGCCTAAATCTAAGCTCTAACCTAGATGTGTTTGTAAAGATCATTTTCTCCAGGCAGTCTGGAATAATAGCTGCAGTTCTGTATGTCCTCACTTGTATTCTCCATCTTAGAGTTCATGGTGAAACACAGAGTTGCCTATGATCCTCATTTAAAGGCAGTTTCTCTGACTCAAATAAACTTAGTGAAAACTTGAAAAGGGACCAACAAGATGGCTCAGTTGTAGAAATACTTATCAGTCAAACCCAGCCACTTGAGTTGATCTCCAGAACCCATGTGTGCTGGCACATGATCCCAGCACTCACTGCAGGATGGGAGGCACAGACAGGAGAATTGCTTGAAATCTCACAATCCAGGCATCCTGGAGTATTTATCCAGCAAGTCAGAACCAACTCCTGAAGACTATGCATGGCATGGGCATGCACACTAAAGCAGAAACAGAAACAGACAGAAAACTGAGTTGTAGAACACTGACGTAGGGCTGATGAGATGGCTCAGCAGCTAAACGTGCCAGCCAAGCCTGGTGAGCAAGTTCACTCTTCCAGACCCATATGGTGAGAACCAATGCCCACAAGCCGTCCTCTGACCTCCACATGTGGCCCATGTGCCTACACACATACACACACACTAAATAAATATATGAGATAAACGAGATATGTACTCCTGGCAGGTACGTATTTGGAACAAACCAGGATTGCTTTGTTTTTGTTGTTTGTGTAGCAGAGTAGACATATGAGAGGCTTTGTTGGAATGAAGAGATTTATAGATTGAATTAACCACTTTCTTCTAAATGGTGTGTGCTAGTTTTCATACCTTGGCCCTGACCCCGTTCATAAGCTCCTCACGCTGGTGGTGGATGATGGCATTCAGCCTCCTGTGGAGCTCAGCTGCAAGGAGAGGAACATCCTCGCGGCCACCTTCATCCGGTCCTTGCACAAGAACATCGGTAAGGATGGGGAGGCGGTGAGCCACGAGGGTGTGTATCTGTAGAGACGGGGTGCTCCATCACACGGCCCAGAGTAAGTCGTGATGAACCTTGCTGCTCCTCAGGAGGCTCCGAGACCTTTCAAGACAAGGTGAACTTTTTCCAGAGAGAGCTTCGGCAGGTCCATATGAAGAGACCTCATTCCAAAGTCACCCTGAAGGTCAGCAGACACGCCTTGTTGGAATCGGTATGTAACATCTTCACTTGCAATTTCTCCAGCTAAGGAGCTCTTCAGCATTTGACTATATCCTGTAGTGCGTCCTTTTTTTTTCTTTTCTTTTAATGAAACATAAATTCCTTTAAACATATCAGAGACTCTGTGTTCGTCTCGTTGTGTATACTTTATTATTATTCTGGATTGGGGCCACTGTGTTAGAGGCATGCGACTGTGGGGGAGACTGACAGCCATCAGCTCTCTGGTCTGTGCTGATTCGTTCCCGGACACTCTGCAGTGTAGGGAGTGGAAGTTGTGGCTGGAGAAGCGGTCTGTTAGTGCACCCCTGGGGTAGAGGCTTCTGTTGGATTAGATGGAAATAATTCTTGTTACTCTGGTCTGGTAGAAATGGAACACCTGGTGAGTATCTGTCCCCCACCACAGACACTGGCCTGGCCTGACATTCCCCCAGAGTGAGAAGGCTTAGTGGCTATTCAGAAAGTGTGTGGTGTTTGGCTCTGGTGGGTGTGACTGGCAGCCCCTTGCTTAGCCACGCCCCCGTGTGGCTTAGCCACGCCCCTGTATGGCTTAGCCACGCCCCCCGTGTGGCATGCGCCCTGCGTAGCCTTGCTGTGAGGTAGGTAAAGATAAGGAGTGGATCATCTGCACTTCACTGAAAACCACGACTCCTTCGCTCTTTCATTACAGCTTACTACCTGAATCCTTTTTTAAAAAACACTTTATGTAAGAAGTTTTTCATTAATAAAATGAAGTTTGTTTAAAAAAATAAGAAATAAAACCGAAACAATTCTAACTTTCAAATTCCACCTTTAAATCTAGGTTAGATGGTTTTGTTTGTCTGTTTTTCCTCTGGGGAGAAGTTGTCCCAGTGTAGACCAAGATGGCTTTGAACTTGCAGCTCAAAGTTCCTCCTGCTTCAGCCTCATGTTTGCTGGGACCATGGGGGATTTGCTTCTATATTTGGATTAGTTTTTCATTTAACTTTTTATTGATTCTTCATAAATGTCATATCATACACCCCAGTCCCACTCTCTTTCCCATCCCTTCGTATTTGCCCTCTGCCCTTGGAAATTCACCCCTTCCCCCCAAAAAAAGAAAAAAAAACCCTCATTGTGGAAGCTGCAGTGTGTCCCACAGGATACCCCTTGTCCACATTTGTATACTTGAAAGTGTTCACTGCAGTGAGTCAGTGCAGTGATTTGAGGCCCTGGCTTCTGCTTCACCATCAATACTGGAACTTCACTGGGACTCCTCTTAGATCTCCTGTTGTTTCCCTGTGTCTTGGAGACCCTAGGGCTTTGTATCTGTAGGACCTGACCCCCTTCACACATTCCAGCCGTTCATAGATGGAGTAGATGCTGGGGTGGGCCAACTCAAAGCCCTGGATCTGGACCTGGGTGGTAGCTGAGCTGGTCAGCCCACCGGCTCTCCTGTGCTTACACCACGAGGGCCAGCTCACCATCACTGCCCCAGCTCATTCAACCAATACTGAGGCCAGCACGGGGTAGGGGCGATTTTCCTGGTCTCAAGTCCTCAGGGCCAGGTGTTCACACCCATGCCAGTAAGGCCAGCTTGACTTTGCTGCCATCAGAGGACCAGGGCCAGCTCTCTCACATTCAGGTCCTCAGGGCTAGCTCACCTGAAACGTCCCCTCTACCCTCTACCACCACAACCAGGGCCAGCACCTGTGTGCTTCCTGGGGGAGATTGGGGGGCAGCTCTCCCACCCACCATGCCCTCAGAGCTGGCAGTCAGCTCTGTACAGCCCTTAGATATCAGCTTGGTTCCATGAGGCAACCCAGACCAGGGATATTACCTAGCCTTTGGTAGTAACATACCTACTCTGCTGCAGGGCCATGAACCCAGACATGGCCCTTGGAGGCAGCACAGGCCAGGACCTCACCATGGCCTTAGGTGACATTGCTGTCTACTCACATTAGGCTGTTTCTGGAGTCTCCAGTCCCCCGTCTTCATTGTGCCCACATCTCGTGTGTCTTTCTCTTCCATCTTTCTACTACTTCCTGGCTCATCTTAGTGCCACACAGGCTTCTGGGTGTCTGGGGTCATCTCAGGAGTGCTATGTTCTGCCAGTGCCGTGTGGCACCAGGCAAGGGTCATCTTGAGTATGATCTGCCCACCTGGACTGCATGGGGCCAGACTGAGATTGTCTCTGGTGTGGTTGTCCCCAATTTTTTAAAATACTGAATTTCTCCTGGAGATCTGTGTATTTGAATACAAGATAATATCATTGAGTCTCACTTGTGTACCATTTATCACTTCCACGTAGTGGTTAGCTCGGTGGGCAGTGGTGCTGCTCTTGAGGTTTTATCTTTAGAAGCTGAGGGAGGCCAGCCAGTGTTCTAACAGCTTCCTTCTTCGCTCTGCTTTTTAGTCTTTGAAAGCCACTCGGAACTTTTCCATCTCAGATTGGAGCAAGAACTTTGAAGTGGTTTTCCAGGATGAAGAAGGTGGGTTTTGAAATTTCATTTTATCGTTTTAGTCTCCTTCCTACTTCCACTCTCCAAAAGAGCTCAGACCAGCCCCTTCAAACTCCCCCAAAGAACCAGCTTCTGTGAGTGAGGAAGGAAGCCTGGCTGAATGGCATGGTGGAATTTAGAAAACAGAGACATGGGGGTGAGCGCTTACAGTTCACACCAGAAGGACAGAATAACCGCTGTAGATGCCGAGTGTCCATTTCCTGGATCTCTGACCTGTGTTTCTGTTAGCTTAGTGATCAGAATACCTTGGAATCTACAGAAGGAAGTGGGGTTTTAAGAAGAGCTCACCACGTAGGTGAGCTGCATTGAAGAAACAGGTAGTGGAGGAGAGAGAAGGAACGGGAGAATGTTAGGTGGTAACTAAAGGGAGAGAAGTAATAGTTGGTGGTGTAAGCCAGCATCACTTTTAATTTTCATTATACTTTTCAGCTTTGGATTGGGGAGGGCCTCGCCGGGAATGGTTTGAGCTAATCTGCAAAGCACTGTTTGATACCACCAGTCAGCTCTTCACCCGGTTCAGTGACAACAACCAAGCACTAGTGAGTCCATGCCTTCCCCATGGGGGGTGGAAAGCTACACTGGATACACAGAGGTTCACACAGCTGACCTCGGAGGCTGGACCACTTGAATCATGCTCTTCATGTGCTGTGTGTAATGAGCTAGTCAAGCTGCCTACCTTTTATTGCTCTGTCTGTAGAATGGGAAGAAAGAGTTGAGCACTTGGCTAAGAGCCTTGTGTTGTAACTTCACTTACCTATAGTAATTAAGCTTTTATCCAGAGAAAAAAGCCTGAGGCTGTTGGTTTCCGTATTAGAGCTTTGACTAGAAAGGAGTCACAGGTAGAGGGTGTGACTGTTTGAGAAGTTCTCATTTAGGGACAGGCATCACAAACTAATCTAAGGTTCTTCAGTGGCCGTTGTCCTCCAGTCATTTTAAATCACTCAACTGTCTGCTCTGTGATCCTTAAACTGAAATCTTATTCCCTTAGCACTGGGTATGAGTCAGCTTTCTGTTATTGTAATAAATGCCCAATAGTTAGCTTATAAAGAGAAAATGTTACTTCACCACAGACTTTGAGAGACTTCAGCTTGCGGCTGGTTGGCCTCCGTGCTTCTGGGTTTGTGGTAAGGCAGCACGTCATAGTGGCAGGGAATGGCGAGATCTTTCTTTCACCTCAGCGCTAGGGCATGAAAGATGGAGAGAAAGAGACCAAGCAGTTCTCGTCCAGGGCACACCTCAGTAGCCTGAGTCCTGATGGCGCTCTGGTCTAGGGACCAGAATGTTTAAATATATACACCTTTGGGGGACATTCCAGCTCCAATTGCAGTACGTAGTTTTTGGCTAGAATGGATGAAAAGTGGTCAAAGGCCTTTCGTTTCCTCTTTGATAGGTGCATCCTAACCCTAATCGCCCGACTCACCTGCGCCTGAAGATGTATGAGTTTGCAGGGCGGCTGGTGGGCAAGTGTTTGTATGAATCCTCTCTAGGAGGAGCCTACAAGCAGTTGGTCCGTGCCCGTTTCACTCGGTCTTTCCTGGCCCAAATCATAGGACTCCGTATGCATTACAAGGTAACATGTTAGGTGTGCATTTTCACTAAGACAGGCTAGCCATGGGCTTTGGCATCTTTCCACATGAGCCGATTTCTAAAGTACTTTTTCCCCTTTCATTTATTTATTTTTTAAGATTTAGTTTTATTCTGTATGTATGTGTGTGTTTTGCCTGCTTGTATGTACATGCACCAGAGACGTCGCTCCTGCCCATTGAATAGAAAGAATTGGGTCCCCTGGAACTGGAGTTACAGATGGTTGTGAGCCTCAGTTTGAGGGTGCTCTGGAAGAGCAGCCAATGTTCTTAACCTCGGAGCCATCTTTCCAGCCCTCTGAGCTGATCATTTTTAAGGTTGAAGGTGTAAGTGGTATCAAGCAGTTAAAGTTTCATTCATGGAAAAGAGTGTTCATGTGCTTCTGTGTCTTCCTATCTCCTCAGTACTTTGAAACAGATGACCCAGAATTCTATAAATCCAAAGTGTGCTTTATCCTCAATAATGACATGAGTGAGATGGAGCTGGTCTTTGCAGAGGAGAAATACAACAAATCAGGTCAACTGGATAAGGTGAGAGACCAGGAGGCCTAAGTCCCTGTAGCCTGAACCCCTCTAAGGCAGCACCAGTAGGACTTTATGCAGTGAAGGAAAGACACTGCAGAGGACTGAGTACCATGCTAATGAAGCATCCTTTCTAAGCTGGTTTAGGAGTGATGACTGTCAGTGATTAGCAGTTGGTGATGTAGGTGCCTGAATCTTTTGTTTAGCACAATGCCTGTACATAGTAAGACCCTTTTTGTTCTTGTTGGGTTTAGTTTGGTTTGGTTTGGTTTTGAGACAGGGTCTCAGTATGTAGCTCAGGCTGGCCTTGAATTTGGTATACAGACCAGGCTGGCTTTGAACTCACAGGAATCCACAGCCTCTGCCTCCTGAGTGCTGAGATTACTGGCCAGATATATATTTGTTGCACATATGCTTTTGTTACATTGTGGAGTTATGCCATATCAGATGATGATGGTGAAGCTAGTCATAATAATAATAGATGGTTACACCTCATTGGCTTTGATAGTGCCGCTGCAATACTAGGTTATCAATATGTAGCTAAAAAGAAGGCAGACTGCACACCTGAGGCAGCTGAGTGTGATAACACACTGATCCCGGCGCTCGGGAGGCAGAGGCAGGCAGGTCTACACACAGAGGCCTTATCTCAAGAGAACAAAACTAAATGCTCTGTTGAGAAGGCTAGAAATGCCAGTTTTCTGTCTTTGAACTAGTGAGGTCTGTACCTTGCTTCCTGAGCTGATGTAACAAAGTAGCTAGTGAACAGTTCGTGACTGTAGGGACAGCAGCAGGTTGTTCACCTGCAAGATTCTCAGTAGATCAGGACAGTAGAACCTGTTTTCTATAATTATGGATATTATATTACTGCTATAATTTGGTGTGTTTTTTGTAAATAAGCACTTCTAGCTATGGCCTAAGAAATGTTAAGATTTATTCACATCAATGCAATTAAAGTGCTATCAGGTCCTTAAAATATCTGATCTTACAACTAATGGAGGCACTCGTTCACTTAAGGAGACAACTCTGTTTTCCATACAGACTCTCCAGGGGAATTGTTTAATGCTTTGGGACTTCTTCAGATACCCCTCGGTAGTTGTTTTGTGTGTGTGTGTGTGTGTGTGTGTGTGTGTGTGTGTGTGTGTGTGTTTATTAATTCTGTTTCTGACTTAGGAAGCTTGTCTAGCTTTTCTTTGCAGATAGACAAATTGCAGCACAAATGAGGAGCAAACAGCTAATAGGCTGGAGTTCTGTAGCAAGTTAGGATCAGGGCTGGAGTCTCCGATGCCAGGTCTCCAAGTTTCAGCGTCGCTCTCTTCGTCTGTGTACTGGGAGACAGACAAATGTGTGGGAACAGCTGTTTCCCTCACATGAAAGAGCTTCTTTGAGAAGAGGTCATTAGTGATTTAATTAAGGGAGAAGAATTAAAGTATTGCTAACAAGAGACCGTAGTACCTTCCCGTTGCATCATCGCCATTCACTGCCTGACAGGAGACCCTGCCTAATGCCCACTGTGGAAGTCATAGTTCATGGGGTGTGAAGTAGTGGTGTGAGCCCTGAAGGTCAGTAATGGAGAGTAAAAGCAAGTGTGTTAAAGACACTAATGCAGACAAGAAACTTGAGGGAGGTGCCGGGCGGTGGTGGCGCACGCCTTTAATCCCAGCACTTGGGAGGCAGAGGCAGGCGGATTTCTGAGTTCGAGGCCAGCCTGGTCTACAGAGTGAGTTCCAGGACAGCCAGGACTACAGAGAAACCCTGTCTCGAAAAAACCAAAAAAAAGAAACTTGAGGGAGCTCAGTTACTGCCTGTAGAACACTTCAAGCTGATACAGCTTCCAGTTTACCCAACGACTTCTCCTTGTCTTTTGCCTTCTGTTTCAGATTGTAGAACTCATGACAGGTGGAGCTCAAACCCCAGTCACCAATGCAAATAAAATCTTCTATTTAAACTTGTTGGCTCAGTACCGGCTGGCCAGTCAAGTGAAAGAGGAGGTGGAGCATTTCCTGAAAGGTGGGCTCCTGTCTCCTTGTGCTTCAGATGTCGGGGCCGTAGCTGCAGCGTGCCTTTAACTTGGATACTTGTGTTTCAGGCTTGAATGAGTTGGTTCCTGAGAACCTTTTGGCTATTTTTGATGAGAATGAACTTGAGGTAAGTGCTCAGGATTTGAACCTCTCATTCGCATGGTTTTTCTTTACTCATGTGGAGGGCACATGGGTGCCAGGTCAGGTATGCGGAGGTCAGAGAGCCCCTGTTGACTTAGCTGTCCCCTTCCTTCCACCACATGAGTCTCCAGATCGACACAAGTGCTTCTACCTTCTGAGCCATCTCACCAGGCCCCAGACTGCTGTTCTCGAGAGCATGCCTTATGGGCCCATGCTTGCTGTACCTTCTGTTAGTGGTGTGGCAAGAAAGTCCTTTTTTTTGGGGGTGGAGGGAGTGGGGGTATGGGATGGGAAATGAGAGGATTGAGACAGTCTCACTGCGTAGCCAGAAAGAGTTATTTATACAGGAGTTAGATTCGCTTTAAAAAAGAATTTTTTTGCCGGGCGGTGGTGGCGCATGCCTTTAATCCCAGCACTTGGGAGGCAGAGGCAGGTGGATTTCTGAGTTTGAGGCCAGCCTGGTCTACAGAGTGAGTTCCAGGACAGCTAGGGCTACACAGAGAGACCCTGTCTTGAAAAAAAACAAAACAAAACAAACAAACAAAAAAGAATTTTTTTAATGTATATGAGTCTTTTCCCTCATGTATGTCTATGTACCTTGTATGCACCTGATATCTGCAGAAGCCAGAACAAGATTGTTGGATCCCCTGGAACTTGAATTACAAACAGTTGTGAGCTGCTATGTCAATGCTGGGAATTGAACCCAGGTCCTCTGGAAGAGCAGCAGTGCTTTAACCTCTGAGTCCTCTCTCCATCCCTGGATTCACTTTGTTACCCTTTGTTCAGTAGTCCTTTCCTCATCTTTTAAAGACTGGAATGTTGAAAGTCATAGAGCAGCAAGTGGTTATGAAGAGTAGTAGTTAATATTTATCTATCAAGTATTATTGATATTGACTAATGAGGAATACTTGCATAACATACAGTCTTCATATTTAAGTGGATTATAGAATGTATTTGTTTAGGTGTGTGTGGACTATGAACTCTGTGCTGAGACACCAGAGAAACTGTACTGAAGAAGACAGAAGTCCCTCAGGGGCTGTATGCTAGTGAAAGACATCCTCAAGATGGGATTGTATTAAAGTCACGTGTGTTTACATATCTATGGTATCACAGAGTGTGTGAACATGTGTATGTACTTACATATCTATAGTCACTGTAATTTCACATTTTGTATCAGCCCAAAGTTAGCTATAAGATGGTCAATAACATTTTCATGGTCAGCTGAATTCAAGTCCTTAGGAGTCAAGAGCACGAGAGTCACTTTGTGTTACTGCTGCTGGTCCTCACACCTGATACATATAGTAAAGGTTAGGACTTTTAACTTTCCATAGCTTCTCTGAGGAGTTCATTTCTTCAAAATGTTTCCTGTTAGAAATTCCTTCTGCACTCAGGAGGCAGAGATAGTTGGATCTCTGAGTTCCAGGACAGTCAGGGTTATAGAGAATCCCTGTCTCAAAAAACAGAAACAAAATAACAAAAAGGAGAAACTTTAAAATTTGTAAGAAAAAAATTGGTGTCAGTGTCATCAGGTGATGTTGTGTAATTCTTATTCTGTTAGCTGACCTGTCTTAGAGAACAGTCAGAGCCTCTGTGATTTTCATCACCTTCCGTGCCTTAAGATATAAAATCCAAACAATGAGTTCTCAGTCTAGAATTTCTAATAGACCTCTTCCCTAGTGCTAGTGCTTTGGGGCACTGGGTTATTTTGTTGTAGCCTGAGCATTGGAAACAACACATATGAGAGTGGGAAGAACAGCTGCAGTCTAGAGCTCTTCCTCGGGCTGCCCCTAGTTACTCATTAACTTGGCATGGGCTTCAAGAAGCTAAAGCTTCCAGGGCTTAATTTGGGCTTTTTGTCTCTTTATTAGGAGGTATCATTCCTTACAGCTATTGGATGGATACTCATAGTCTGCTAAGTAACATGTTGGCTCTTGAGCCAAATTAGAACATCAACAAGATATTTAAGGCTCTGATGTCATTAATGTTCGTTCCCTCCCTCCCTCCATCCCCTCCCTCCCTCCCTTCCCTCCTCCCCGTACCTTTTAGTTTATCTGTTCAGCTGGAAGCAGAGCTAAAGGATAGTAGTAAAAGTTCATAAAAAGAGGCTAGACCTAGACCTGAGAGAGACACTCATAAAGGGGCCTTTCCCCTGGGCATTCATTGCTCTGCTGGCTAGAACACAGACTTGGTTCTTTTAGTTCTTTCATTTCATTCTGTAATTACAAAGAATCCTTAGCAGTTCTTAACAAGGCATACTCATCAGAAACACCTAGGAAACCTCTTCAGCTATATAAGCGTAGAATCTAACCTTAGAGACTCTGATGCAGTACACCTAGGTCACAGCTACAGTGTATTCATCTGTCTTTTTAATCGAGTGTGTGATACAGGCACACATGTGCCACAGAGCTTATTGTGTGCCGGGAAGCATCTGAGGTCAGAGGACCACTTCTAGGAGTTTGTTACTCCCCTCCACTGTGGGTTCTAGGGATCAATAGGAGTCATTGGCCTATTGCAGTTCATTCTAGCACTGGGATGTCATCTTCTGTCTTTCTCCTGGCATTGTTTTTATTCTGCATTCCCATGTCAATAGGTAACTGACTAAAGAGAGTGTCTTTGTCCTTCTGTCTGTCTAGCTGCTGATGTGTGGGACTGGAGACATCAGTGTATCTGACTTCAAAGCCCATGCTGTAGTGGTTGGTGGATCCTGGCATTTCAGAGAAAAGGTAATGGTCTAAGCTTTCACATTTGGGTTGGTATCTACTTGTGTGGAATGATTTTAGAAGACTAAAGTAGAAGAGTCAAAGAAGTTGACATGCTGACTGGCAAAAAGATGATTCATGTGGGAAAACAGGGGGTTATCTAAGCTGAGAGGAGCTCAGGTCCCTAAAGACAGATGGATACCTTGACTGCCCCTGGGGTAGTGGGTGGAAACAAGTAAATGCAAGTAAACGGAGCCAAGCAATCAATTGGTTACCCTCTGACCCTGTGACAAGGTAAGTTCTTGCAGGGGTTGGTATCCATCCCTCATAGTACTGTAAATGGGAGCATATGCCCACCCACAGTATCCTGGTCCTTCCTTAGGAATCAGATCTTAGGTTACACACCTGTTGACGAAAGCCTTGTATTTTCCTCAGGTCATGAGGTGGTTTTGGACCGTGGTTTCCAGTCTGACCCAGGAGGAACTGGCTCGGCTGCTTCAGTTCACAACAGGCTCTTCTCAGCTCCCACCTGGAGGATTTGCTGCCCTCTGTCCCTCATTTCAGATTATTGCTGCTCCAACCCACAGCACGCTTCCTACTGCTCATACATGGTAGGTAGGCTGCCCAAAGCATCCCTTGTGAGAGATTCTCTTTCTAGCCCTTGCCCATGTTTCTTGTAGTATGAATTAATCATCTTCCTCCTTGTTTTTCCAGTTTTAACCAACTGTGCCTCCCTACATATGACTCATATGAAGAGGTGCACAGGATGCTACAGCTGGCCATCAGTGAGGGTTGCGAGGGCTTTGGCATGCTCTGACCGTTCTTCTCTCACCTGCTTGGCTCCCAAGCTCTGTAGAGCATCTGGACACATGTTAACAAGCATAACCGCTGACCTTAACCACAACCATTAGCCAGAAGATAGTGCATGCTCCCTTGTGTCTGGAGTATTCTGTCATCTACAAGCACTGTTCTTACCTCACCCTCTGTCCGCAGTTACCACAGGCCACTTGAGCACATGGCACCTATCTGAGCTCTACTCAGTTTCGAGAGGAGGACCATGCTGCTGTCATTTCGTTGGTCCTTTGAAGATCTCTGTGGCTGGATCTGCCTCAGCGGCTGGGAGAGATGCATGACACAGAGGACTCAGTTCTGTAGGAAAGCCAGCGTGGGAGACCTTTACGCCGTGCCTCATTCCAGCACCCTCTTCTCTTTGGAAATGCCCTCCTTGAGCTCACTACTTGACCAGACTGGGCAACCCATCACCTCTTCTCATCAGTGGCCAGGAGAAGCACAGCTAGAAAGTGGCTCACACAAGCTGTCTGATTTGTCCTCGCACATTGTGACAGGCACCGGCCATGCACTGGATTAGTTCTCATGGGGACTGGTAGTACACAAGGATCTCTTTATGGTGACAGAACTGGAAAAGACACTCCCTGCGGGCATCTTTAAAGATGATCATTAATCTATAAGGAATTTGCTAAGCTTTCTCTTGAATTTGAGCCAGTGAGAAAAGCAGTCAGAAGAATGTGAAGGCCGGCTGTGCTGTAGCCTCCAGTGCTGGGTATGCTTCCCTCTTGGGGAAGGGCCGTGTTCAGGCATGTGGATGGCTTGAAGACTACTAATGCTTTTCTCCGAGTTTGTTCTTTGCACTGAAGGAGGACTTGGCCTGACCTCCAACTTACGTAGTTTGTTAAGAGTTGTCTTTAGCATTCTGCTGGAGGAATTTTGAGAGCAATGGACTGGGACAGTGAACATAGCCTGCCAGCTCTCTTTGGTGGTGATCTCTGGCAGAGCTGAGGCAAAGGAACAGTGATCACAGGTCCTGCATCAAGTCATGGAGAATAGACATGGTGGAGATCCAGCAGCAGTAAATACCTAGCAATTCCAAGTACTTGGCTTCATCAGTTACCAAGAAGTGGGAGACCCATGGAGGGAGAACACTGTATTGGGTTCACAGTTACATGGTGATCAAAGAGAACTTCTCAGTCTCGAGGAAGATAACATCTTTTCATGAGTGTTTGAATGAAAACAACATGAAGGCTCAATATCACATGGATTTCCCAATTTCTGTCTTTAATAAGGCTTTCTACAAGCCACTTTCTTCCATGGGGCACTCACTCAGAATATTACAAGCCATTTTATTGCCAAAACCAGCAAGTACACAGAATCCCGAGACAAGGCAGTTCTTGTGACAGTGCCTTGGCCTCCTGGAAGCAGTCTGAGCCCTCCTGTTCCCAGGGATCAGGAGAAACAAGCCCTCCTGAGCTGCTAGAATCCTGCCTGACCTCCTTTGCAGTCATCATCTGTCTTTTCTTGGTGTGGGTGCTCACCTCACTTATCCTTGGGGTTTGGGACCTAGCATCAGGACCTCTCCACCCAGGATCCTTCATGCCACATGGTCACTGCTCTCCTCAGGGACCGGGACAAGGTGCTGCTGTCTGCCCACACTTTCCCATGGAACACGTACAAAATCATTTAGCCACTACCCTGCTGCCTCTCAGGCCTCCACTGGGGCTTCTAGCTGGGTCCATGGCTGCTTGGCTGTTGGGGATGGTTCTTCCTCCTAGGTTCTGCAATCCTGGCTCCAGCAGAGCTCTGCAGGCTGCACAGGGGTCAGTGTGTGTCCGGGCCAGACCTCTCCTTTTAAGCTCTAGTCATAGCACTTTTTCAGAGTCTCCTAGGCACTGTTACAGCCCAAATGGGGCAGCTAGGATTCCAGGGTGGTCCTTAGGCACCAGAGTCTTTAACAAAAAAATATCCTCTAGTACTGTGTGGTTTTCTGTTCTTCGAGTTTACTCTCCTGACTATTCAGAAGCATTTTGCTCTCTCTTGCATTTTTGTTATCCTTTTTTTTTTTTTTTCTAATACTGCTTTGGTACTTGCCAGTATGGGAAAGAGATGCAGTATGTTGGACAGATAAAACTATGTGTTATTTCTTGGTCAATTTTCTATTCATATTCCTTATTTTGGCCAGTTCTTTTGTTTATGCTTTGTGACATAGGTACTTGGGAAGCCAGCTGCCCTCCTGACTTTTGGCTTTTCGGTGTTCTTGAAGGAGACCAGTCATGAGCACCAGGGAGAGTGTCAGCTGGTTCTAGAACTTGGCAGAAGCTGAGCTCTGCTGCACATTGTCAGGCCAGGTCTGGATATCTGCAGTTGGAGATGTAAATATTTTGTACAGTAAATAAAATGCCTACAATAATCAAGGGCTTAATGACTGTTTGAGTTGCAATGGGGCAGTGCTTAAATGGAACATGGGAAAGAAACCATTTAGAGATGCTTTCTGTGTTCTTGGAAGTAGGAAGCAATCTGCTGTGGACAGAGTGTGTACTGGGTGCCCTGGCTTGTCTCCAGTCCCTGTCTTCAGGGCCACACTGCTCACTGTAGATAGCAATCCAGTGGGGAAAGTGTTTGTGCTCAGAGCCTGAGGAAGGAAACTAGTTTGATATGAGCAAATGGTATCTATTATGTCTTTAAGAGTTAATTTGTTGTTTTTTATATCAGGAAGTCAGTAGAGAGAATTTCTAAATAAGTTAAAGAAGGGCCATGGAGATAGCTCAGCAGTCTGGGATGCTTGCTTCTCTTATAGGATCTGGCTTTGGTCCCTGGTACCTACCCTGAGCTGCTTACAACTGCCTGTAACTCCAGTTCCAGGGGAGCCAGGGACCCAGGATGTCTACATGTATCTGCACAGACAGTTTGCACCCAAACTTACACAGACACGCACACTGCAAGGAAAAAAAAAAAAAAAAAACAACTTGAAGGGTCAAGGAAGGTGGATGCAGTCGTACATGCTGTAGCCCCAGCCTCTTAGGTGGCTGAGCTGGGAAGGTCACTTGAGAACAGCCTGAGTAACACAGTGAGACCTTGCCTCATAAAACAAACCCTTTTAGTAGCAAACAATAAGAAAGCCCCAAACAAAACTGTAAAAGAGAAGTGTCTAGGCATAAGTCACTGAGCCTCCAGAGGTTCTCACTGTCGGCACTCTGACAGCCCTCCAGACTTCACATCCTTCATATTTAACTTGCTGCCATCCTCCACATGCTGTCCTCTGGGCTGTGTCTTGACCGCTAGGGGAATCTAGCCCTGATGCCGAACTGATTAATTGTATGTTCTGAGACTGCCGTGTTGATGCTCCTTGCATTTATGTACCGTCTCTGGCCTGGTCTGACATGATTGTGATTCTCTGTGAGAGCCTATTAGGTATCATATAAGTATGATAGTACTGAAAATGACTCAATGGTAAATTATCCCCAAACCTGAGGACTGAACTAGTATTTCAGACTCAGTAGGTCTCTCTACGTAGTCCAGGCTGGCCTAGAACTCACAGACATTCTCCTGCCTCTACCTCCTGAATGCGGACTGGATTAAAGTCATGTAGCATCATGTCCTTGGCTGCAGAACTGTATCTGAGGATGAAGCCGTTACTTTTCAGAACCCAAACTTGACAGTTTTGGTTTGTCTCTTGAAGATTAGTTTAGACAGAGAACCCAGGCATTGGGCCACCAGTGCTTCCTACCTGCCTCGAATTTACTCTGTGCAGGATGTGACAGATGAACGAACAATTTATACCGTGGTTTACCTACTAGTTACTGTGATTTGGGGTTGATGGAGAGAAGGCCCTACGCCAGGGTAGAGAATTTCTAAGAGGTGCAGTGAGTAATCATGGCTTTAAGGTCTGCATGGAGGAACTTTTGTAGAACTGTGAGCTAGTAACCTGGGGAAAGAGACTGCCAAGTTTGAAATGATCCCTCATAAAGAACACAAGATACCCTTGAGGATGTAACTGAGGAGGATGAGTCCTAAAATTATTTTTATCTCTACGCTGGAAAATCCTTAGTCACATGCAAATGGGTAGTTATAGTGAGGTCAGACACAGTACTCTGATGTTTATCTCTGGTAACTGTGTCTGCAGAGAAAGACTCGTTTGAATAAACCTCCTGTCTATACTTTCCTTATATGAAACAGCACCAGTTAGTAAAGGCCAAATTCCTGGAGCACACTTCACTGGAAAGCATATGATTTCAAGAGTGCCAGAAAAAGGGAAACACCCTTCCCCCGGCATACCAGTAACACCATGATTCTGTTGAAGCTATAAGCAGGGTCAGTCTCTGGGGTGAGAGGATCCTGTACCTCTCTGGGATGAATTCATCTTGCCAAGCCCCCACTTTTCACCTGCGCTGTTTGTTGGTTTGTCAAAGTTGGAATCTGAAGCTTTCTATCCTTCACAGGCTGAGCATTCCCTCTCTCCAGAACTCCCACTCAGAGAGGCTGCCAAGACATTCCTCTGCCCATTAGCAGAGTCAGGGATATCAGAATTTGCAAGCCAGCTGGAGAAGGTGGATGACTCTTAGGTTATTTTGAATGCAAAATGTTGGGTTATTGTGTAAGAAGATTATGTTTCATTTTGGGGTCTCTTAAGTCGTAGGTTTAATTCTCCCAGGTTGTCAGTTCTACTTCTGCAAACAACTCCTGGAATCTGGTTCCGCCCCTGGATTTGTGTTCTCCTCCTTTACCCCCTAGTCCTGTCCATAGCTGTATTTCAGCAAACATGTCTCGTATATGGGACACCACAGAGAGCTTTGGACAGTAAATAGAATGTGGTCCCAGCCTGTGAGTATCTCAGTTCTGTGGCCTTTCCCTGAGGCTTAAGCATACAAACTCAGGGCCACATACCTCCATGTGTGACATTGTTTTATTTTCACAGGGGTAGGGAATGTTTTTGTGTTTGGAGACTGTATCAAGCAGTAACAGCTGCAATGTCTAGCTGCTTTAACAAAGGGAAATTACTCTCCCTACTGACTTTCAGAAATGAAAGAACTCTTGTAAAGATGGACTCAAATAGACCCAAGGGGCAAGTTCTCATTGTACCATAAATAGTAGATCCTGGACCTGGGAAAGGGAACTTCATGATCTTAAGGCCAGTTCTCCTCTAACCTGCTCTCCCAGACACAGAAGACCTGGATATTGACTTTGGCAGCAGGGACCTGGCTAGTTGCCCACAGCTCAGTGAATGAAATTAAAATCTTGAGTGAATGGGAAAAGGGAGTATTTTCAACATTAATAGCAATCAAACAGATTTGTGCTTGGTTGAAATAATTCGGATGTGAGAGGAAAGACCCTGCCATTTTCAATGAACCCCAAAGCACGAAGAACTGAATCAACACTATGACGAGCCCTGACATTGGTCTGTGGCCACCGTGGGTGGAAACATCGAACTCCATTCCAGTTTTTCCGTAGTGTCAGTCAAACCCAGGAAATGAGTCTTGAGTTCTCTGCTGTGCGGTGTGGCCATCGTGTTCCTCCCTGGGGGTTGGGTAGCTCTGGATGTTGATTCTCACAGCTAGATGGGTGCTAGTTTGGACCCTGCCTCTAGAATACCATCTAGAATAACTCTAGAATACCATCTTGCTCTGCTCCCTTAGAAGGATGTCTCTGGAGCCTTGTTCATGAGAATACCAACACGGTTTCCTCAGAGAGTCCCAGCAGTGGAAGTGAAACTGTGTTCTATAGAGGGTACTTTGTGTCTCACTCAGGGAAATGAACATATTGAACAAATCTAGGAAGGCTCACGTGGGCTGCTCTGGGAACCTTGTGGGAGGGGTCGGGTAGCAGCCATCCATCTCCAGACTCCCACAATGGTTCTCATCTATTTCTGCCCCAGAACCTTGAAAATTCTATTGTCTTGGCATCTAAGTTACGTCTTCCAGACAGCCCCTCACACCAGAAACCAGCACAAATCTCTCATGTCAGACCGTATCTTGAGTTTTGGTTTTAAAAATGTCACTGTGGATCAGCTGTGGGGAGACAAAAGGAAGCAAAACTCCAGCCCTGACTTTTGGGGTGAGCCTCGGCTTAGGGGTTTGGTGCAGTGAGAACAGGGGGCCAAGATAGTGGTTGGCACAAGGATATGGAGAACTCTGGAAGCAGAGCCAGAGCCTCCAAGGACCGAGGCCCAGGAAAACCTGGCACAGGGAATAGCTGGGTATTTAACCAGGAACACTCACTCATTTTCCCTCAGCCTTGGCAGTAGGTCAGAGCAAGCAGTTCTAGAAGGGTCCACATCCTTTCTATTGTCCCCACCCCAGCTTCAATCATCATCCCAAACATCTGCTTCAAATTTGAGCCCTTGCCTCTCTGCCCGATTGCATACTAAACCATGGGTAGTGAGGGTGAGGGCAGATCTACAGGTGTCGGATAGGAAAGAGAAGTGGGTAAAGCTGCTCCAAGATCTCTTTCAGGTAGTACAGCAGACTAGGAAGCTGTATACACACACACACACACACACACACACACACACACACACTTTTTAAAATACACATGTGCCTCCAAAATCTAGCCAGTAACTTGTTTCGCTTTCTGGGTAAAGGGAGTAACCTGGGGGAAGGAATTGGGAATAGCTGGAGAAAGCCTGAACCATGGCAGAACTAGTTTTCAGAGGCAGTTCAGCCAGCCCAGAGGGGGCCTACAGAGGTGCTTAGTGCCTACAACAAGCAGTGAGGTGCTAATGGGTCCTTAAACACCTCAGCCTGGCTTATAAGCTGAAACAGACACAAGCAAGTTGGAGCCTTAAAACTAGCCTGCCGCTTGGTGGCCAGTGGGAAGCAGCCAGAGGACCTGTCAATCACAGCATCACTAATGGTTTCACGAGGCAAAAGCTGTTTCTCTAGCACTTGTCCTGATTTTCAGACCATTGCTAAGTAACAGGAAATAACCTAAAGGGATAGTTTCAGAACTTGTGTAATAACAGGTGATGTTTAATTCGTGTTTATTCCACACAACCCCTGTGTGGAATAAAATGTGTAAGCATTTGGCTTGTGTTGACTCAGTTCATGTTCATTTCTGTCTGTAAGCTATATTCAGTATTTCCATTTCACAGGAGGAGACTGAGGCACAAAGGAGTAATCTGTGCAAGGTTACATGTCAGATGAATCATGGTGTCAGCTTGGTCCCAATACCTTACCTCCCACGAGCTCAAATAAGGTGTCTTGGGGACAGAGATCCAAGTCCAGAGGATCCCTGCAAGAGAGTGGCCAGGATGCTGTTCATCCTCCAGGCAAGGAGGCAGACCGTGTGGGCCTCTGACTTCTGAGTCCCCAGGGAGCCATCTGGTGGGCATGTCCCCAGCCAATCCCACCATTCTGCACCCCTGAGACTGTAACTGCCCATTTCAGGGCAGTGCTTGTACATTCTGATGCTCCTTCCA